TCTCATTTTCAAAATTTGACCTTGAATTATTGTATTAAAAGGGGTACTTTAGTGGGTTGTCAGTTAGGGGAGTCAGACTCCTTGCCCCTGTCATCAGCGTCTGGCCTGAGACAGCCTCTGAGGGGCAGGATGTGTGTACACACGTGTGTTTGTGTCATTAGTAGATTTTCAGGAAATTTCCCAAAGAGATCTATTTGCACTCATTCCCTTGGGTCTCTTCATAGAAGAAAAATTAAGGTTCAAGATAGGCATCTGAAGGATAACATCTGTTGTAGTTATATTGAAATAATGATTTAGCAGACTCGTCAGGATGTGGTCATACTTCAAGGTCGTTATTATGAACAATCATCACTGCAGAATTGAAAATCCACTTTACATTTAAGCTTTTCTGTTTAGATTTCGATAAATGGATCTTTGGATGAAGTCCCAAAGAGGAGAATGCAAGCCTAATTATCTCTGCTTGTCATTTCTTTATATTGTTTTGCCAAATGAATTTATGTTCTGATGGCCAGATGATATGGTTATCAGAAAAAGTTTAGAAAGTACACAGAATACATAAAAAGGAATAATGATCACTGATTGAGCATTGACAAATTTGTTTTCACTACAAATTGCATTAAAGTAATAGAAAAGATTTTTAAGTGCACAAACTCACAGGGTTAAAGTAAGAGGAGAGACAATGGTAGCAGCATTTGAGAAGCTGGAAGCAAATGGTTTGCATGGTAATCGATGTAGCAGATGTGAGGAACAAGCCTGTTTCCCTGACAGAATCAGAGTCCCGGGAATTCGCAGGAGATGTCTGGATGTTGGAGGGGAAGGAAGCTACTGTTAGCTGTATTGGCTGAACGCTGTTTAAGAAGCACAGACAGAAGTCATTCAGTACAGACATGACTGGAGCTGGGGAGAAGCTTATAGAAGAGGTTTCCACAGAGATGCAATGTGGATATGTCTGAACCTTTTGAGGAGAGTAGACTAGTTGTTAGATAGCGTTGGATTGATTAATCACAAAAAATCCAAGATGCTTATTCAATTCAGAGAAAACAACATTGTGAAAGAAAGAAAAATAAAGTGCAACACAGTGTTTCATTATGAATAATATCGATATCATTACAACAATAGGAAATGGTTATTTGACCCAAATTATGCATAACTATATTTGGGGGATGGGGTGGTAAGGATTTATGTATGTGTCTTGGGGGGAGGAGGAGGGAAGGAGGGAGGGAGGGAGGGAGGGAGGGAGAGAGAGAGAGACTGGAGTAAAGGTTAGATCATTGAACGGCAGGTATAAGATCATGGTCTATGATGTTAATAAGTCTAAGAAGAAAATTGAGTGGGAAATTGTTAACAGGTGGGCTAGAGGACAGGTAGTTCTCATAGCAAACATTTTAGAATTATTTATTTCTTTAAATGGTGCATATATAATTTTGATACAAGTGAAAAAGTTAAATAGGAGCACATGCTCCTGTCACTTTGTTACACTATTTGTGCATGTGCACACATTCATTCACACACAGGTACACACATGCACACACAGTCTCTTTGGAGTATGTGCTTTGGGTTGGATATTGTACCGAGTCTTTTCAAAGTGATGCACATAAAAGACCTAGCATATTTTCATCCCAAGAGAACTATGTCTTAAATATTGAAATGTACATTTCAAACACGTGCTATAGAAATTGTGAGACACACTCACCTTTATGTTTGGAAGTAGCTGGAAGAATTGCTGGTAGCCTACTTTGCGTCTGGGACACATTACGCTGAGTTCACTGTGCCTGCTTCCATATTGCATGCTCATGCACCGGAGAATGTAGATACTGTAATCTGGAGACTCAGCAGGAACCAGATGTGAACATGGGATGTCCTTCTTAGTTGCATTCACATTATTAAGATTCTATTTTATTTTTAAGTTATGTATATGTGCCTATCTGGGGTACGTACACATGAGTACAGGTGCCCGTGAAGACCAGAGGCATCAGCTCCCTAGGGTCTGGAGTTTCAGGCAGTTGTGAGCTGCCTGACACGGTTGCTGGGAAATGGGTCCTCTGGAAAAGCCAGTGCTCTTAACCACTGAACCATCCCTTCAAGTCAGTGTTCACCTTATTTTTTGAGACAGGGTCTCTCAGCACCCAAAACTCACTTATTGATTAGGATGGGCTGACTGGCCAGTGAACCCCAGGGATTCACCTGTCTTCATCTCCCTGGTCCTGCGATTACAAGTACACAGCATCACACTTAACTTTCTTAACTGGGGTCTAGGGCTTGAACTCAGATCCTCATGCTTACAAGCAAGCACTTTCCCAAATGAACTATCCCTCCTCCACCCTGCAGTCCTTAGAAGATGTCATTTTCCTTGTTTGAAAAAAAAATATGGATGAGAGAAAACTAAAAGATAATCATGGGGTATTATTTCTTGTGTCTTACTCTGCTGATGAATTCTAGCAGAGTAAGCATCAAAATCACCAGCAGATCACAGAGAACCCTTGAAGCATGGCCCTGGAGCTTCAGAAATGGATGGGGAGCCAGGGCATCTTGGTGCACGGCTTTAATCCCAGCACTTGGGAGCAGAGGCAGGAAGATCTCCATGAGTTCCAGGCCAGACATGTCTACATAGTGAGATTGTCTAATGTGACACTAGTGAGCATGTGAGCCTTTGCATTGTGGACATATGCTCCAAGTCAAAGTTACTCAGCTTTGATTCAGACCAGACCTCACGTGATCAGTGCGTACTGAATTATTATTATTTATTGATCTTCTGTTAATTATGTCTGGAGCCATGATAACTTATTTTTAGAAACTGAGATATAGTCTTCAAAAGAAATTTTGTTTTATGAACTTAAGATAATGCCATAGACCAGGTGATCCCAAATGAGTTCTGTAGATCATTGTCCACTGGGGCATCTTAAGTCACTGGACTGTACCCATCCTGGATGTAACATCCTTTTAGAGATCTACATGCACAATAGCATGTATAATCTGGTTTTAAATTAAACAACTTTATGCTA